ATTTATGTCTGTATAATTAGTCATATAAAGTAAGATTGATTACTTTAATTATTGTATCATTGATATGTGCGTCATTGATATGTTTCCTTCATGGATAAAAGAAATTTATAAGTTGGCTTGTTAAAGGGACCTGGACACAGTCCTTCTAAATGTCTATTTTTATTTAAAAAAAAACTTCAATTTAATGATTTGAACTTACTTGAATATTCTAAGAATTCAGTGACAACGACATTCTTCATAACATCACGTCAAACGCCAGTGTGTGTAAACAGGACATGAGCTCTGTTATTGTTAGTGTTTACGTTTTACCGGGTATGTTCAATTTGTTTAGTCTGCACACATCGCTGAGCACGGACTGACAATACTGGTGAGTTGGTTTTGCTTTCTAGCATTTCTACTCCGAACTTTCTGAATTATAGTTTTCATAGATACACAACAAAATTTCTACTTATGGATATATCATGTATAAAGTTTACTTTGTGAAAGTGCAAGGATATGTGTAAAATACTCTAGCAACATATAAGTCATTATATTATTTCGATTATTTAGAAAATTTTAGAGAATATGAGCTTCAAATCTGTGTCCAAGCCCCTTTAAGTGGCGTTAGAGTACTTATAAACGACCGTGTTTTTCATAAGAAATAAAGGAAATTATATTCAGTGGATGTAAATTGATATTTTGCATTTACACTATTGCCAACCCTTTTACTTAACCATTGTAAAATTCCCGAAAAAGTTATTACCGTGGGATATAATTGGTATCGTAATCTGTTGTACAATAAAATCAAAATCAAAATCATCGAGCTTCTTCCTACAATTAATGTTTTGATAAGCACTATATTATTTATATCTCATTGGTAGTTAAATGAACAATTAATCTGATACTGAATAATATGCAGGGCTTTCTGAACTTTTAAGTACATATAATTCCCATTAGTGACAATACATACCTGGTACCTGCGGCTTACAATGAATCAGACCACACAAAAACAGGAAGGCAATGAAGTGTAAAGTTAAGTGCAAAATTAAACATAAGTATATAAACCACCGCGATTCTCAAAGTTTTATTAAACAGATGTTCTTCAAAACTTTCCAAAAAATGAATGTTTTTGTGTCGCATATTCTTACAATTTTTATTTTATTTTTTAGATATTCGGTCGCATCCAGCTATGAGCAAAATTGTTTTCAAAATGTATCCACGGAAACCTTTACGTGTTCAATTAATGTCACCAAAGAATGGAATTTCTTTGAATTTCGACGATGGCTAAAGTCATTTTTGAAAAATCCTCAGGAAGTCATATTAAACATTAACTGTGGCCATGATGGTTCTCTTATTATTCCTAGACGGATGGCAGGAAGCTACGTCACAAAATTCAACATCCGGGGATGTTTGTTGGTAGAAGATTATAAATCCCATGATCAAGCTCTAAGTGCTGAACTGACAACAGACGTTACTTTAGAGGACTGTGTTATCAAAATTAACTCGTACGAATATGTTAAAAATCAAATCGAAAATCTTTCTGCAAGGAACTGTGATGAACAATTATCATTAAAAAGTGAGATAATGCGTAACGTATCTTTTACTTTTACAGAATTCAACAAAACAAATTTTTCAGTAATTTTGAAAGACGCCGGGGTAAATGCAGAAGCCTTTGCACAGGGCATTTTGAAGGCAGAGGAACTTTGCATCTATGAAAATATGACCTATTATGAGCGCTCGTTCAATAATCCAAATTCAGGAATGCATAATAATCCCCATCTTCAGACACTTTACAAAATGCCAAATCTGAGAGTCTACAACTTTTCTAGCAACAGTCTTCTTCAAATTCCAAGTACACTAAAAACAATTCGTTATTATTACCCATCGTTGGAAATCCTTGATTTATCTAATAACAATGTAAAAGAAATTTCCTTTTCACTGTTAAATTCATCTTTGAGTTCTGGTCCATTGTATATCGACTTACGAAGCAATAATATCACAAACGTTAGTGAAAACCAGGTACAAGAGTTCTTGGAGAACGATATAATAGTTGATCTCAGAGGCAATCCCATAACGTGTAACTGCAGTGCAGTGTTTCTGAAGAGCTATCTTTTGCGAATTTCGACCGCATGGCCAAAGTGGGCGACGACAGCGGGTATTACATGTAGTCAACCATCTGAACTAGTTGACAAGTTATTAGCTGACTTGGATGACCAATTCTTATGCAATAGCCACCCTTAAGAAAATAAACATATCATTTTATATATATATATATATATATATATATATATATATATATATATATATATATATATATATATATATATATATATATATATATATATTAGTGTTGTTTGATTTATAGCTTTTTAATTTCCTGGTACCTCAATAAAAAAACCTTTTCATTTTGACAATTTAATTCAATTTATAATATTGTTTCACTGTCTCAAATACGATTTAATAAATGTATGAAATCTGACGTCAAGTGCTCTTATAGACCACCTTAATGCGTTGTTTTTTTTTCTGTTGTTTAGATTCTTTTCAAGGCTTTTTTATTTTTAAATATATAAAACAAGAATTAAAAGGAGTGCAAAAGATATATGTCCCTTTCCTGCTCCGAAAAAACATTGAGAGTATATTCATTCATATATTTTGCAAATTACACGTTCCTTGGAATTCTGCAACTTCAATTTTCTAGCACTATCGGCAGTTGTCATGCTGTGAGTTTGTTGGATAAATCCCCCATCCATTTCAACACATGTATTTAATTAAATTTTATGAATTTATTTCCATATTAACACATGACATTATAAGCATGCCCATGATTCTTGAAAAATAATTTATTCACATTGCAGCAATAACAGATTGCAGCAATAACAAGTGAGACAGGAATAACATTAAAAAAAATCTGGTCAATCAAAAATATGTGAAATTTTAAAGTACTTTCTTTTCATAATTTATATTTTAAAAATTATTTTTATATATTCTTATTATTGGAAAAAACAAACTTACATTCCCCATTTTAGATAATGAAGGACCATTATTCCATTTAAAAGGGTCAGAGATCTATTAAAGCTCTTTATCTGAATCTCTCCTATTCACAGTCGTGTACCAAACAACATTCCTACAAGTTTTCTTTACTAAATGATAAAACCACTCTTGTAGTAAATGACACTTATCACTTTTTGGGACTTTCAGATCCTTTAAAGAAAAAAAAAAGAAATGGTGATCTATAAATAACGGAAAAGAAATACATATTGCAAGTTTTTATGGACATGAATTATGAACAGAATATTTTGCTAGAAAGAAAGATGGATATTAATATACTGTTAGGATAATAAAAATTCAGTTGTTGTTTGTGTTAAATTTTGCATATTATCAGACATGACTTGGAATAAGGATTAGTATGTAAGAGTCCTTAAAAGAAACAAGAGAAAACACAATGAAATTACGTAGCACTCCCTAAGACACATAAAGTTCTTTATTAGAGAAAGTCGTGTATGCCTGATCAAGAATCATTGAATTTTTATATTCATTAAACAGTATGTAGTTTCTCATCTCTCGTTCACTGATTTATCGCATATGACGTCACAGCAGTATGGCCAAGAAATCCGATTGAAATTTGCATATCGCCGTATTTGAATTTCAACTCTTTATTTCGCATAAAATATGCCTACAGCAGCGTTTATTATATTCAGTAGTTTAATAAATAAAGTTGTAGATAAAAAATTTTCCATAAAATTTCGATTTTTTGAAGAGCATGCTACAAGTCCTTTAACCTTATATTAACTTATCTTCAATATCTCTCTGCCAAACATCAAAATATGAAAAGATGTGTCAGACTCTGTGGTGTCTTTTATTTCGAGTTCAATGCAATATCACGAATCAATGTATAAATGAAATGAATATTGTCAATTTATACATGTACAACTAAATGTAGAATAAAAGGCCATAGCAAGATTCTTCTACTTTTCATGTAGGAATAAATTCATCTTCATAAGATTTTAATATCGGTAAATAAAGGAAAACAATTAAAACCCATGAGAATTTCAACATATTGTTGGAACACCTGGTCTCAAGTTTGCCATAGAGCAAGTTAAATGTTGTACCTAAAACATCTGTAAGAATAAATGTGGGGATAAGGAACAAAAATCAAGCTCAAAAGTCCATGATAAAAAATACAAATCATGAGCAGAGCAAACACGGGCCTCTAAAAACATTAGAGGTGGGATCAAGTGCCATGGAGGAGTAAGCATCCCCTACCGACAATAAGAAATATTTTTATCATTTCAATCCTTTGTCTTATTAATGAACAAGAATTTAATTGAATAACAATCCCAAACAAGAAATCACTTTCTTAAAATTTTATCAAGTTTAATTTGATAGTCTATTTAACCATTAACTTATTGTAATTCAGAGTTTTTGTTATTCGATGGAATTTTTTTTTCCAGTTGGTTTTCAGTTTACAAGCTCTTCTCATTAACCCAGTCCAGTGTTTTCCGCCGCAATTTATTTTTTATTTTAGCAACATTATTCAATATTAAGAAAAATCGGTTAAATGAAATTATTTTTAATAAAAAAAATATGCTTGATGACATCTAAAAAGGGTTAACACATGAGTCAAGGTTTTGAAATCTGAGTTTATCGGGACACAGTTTGTGGGCTGTCAGATATGTACTACTTCACTTACTGTTCTTAAGGAGTGTGAAAAGGGTAAATGGCTGGAAGGCGTTGAATTATCTATTTCATGCCATTTTCATTTATTTAATGATGGCTTTATAGTGTATCGTTTATTACGAACTTTAGACAAATTCATCATGGGTTTGTTGTTGTTTTTGTTTTTGGCATGTAGTTCATCCACCCGGCAAATCAACTAATAAAATGTATGAATTTAAAAAAAAATCATGAAGCATCAGAAAGGGTTCTTTTATGTCGAAAACACATTTGCTCGCTAGATGACCCCATATAGAGCCTTTATAAAGCCTGATGTACAATGATTATTACCAATTGTTCAGTTGAAAATGCTGATTCAAACGTGTTTCGTGTTATTGGTATTTTGGAACTCTATATTTTCTGTACCTTTAAAAGAGAAAGATGAAGGTAATCTGTTTTTTTGAAATTGCAATTAAATAACATATTTAATTGGAAGATATGCACTTATGATTTTTTATATATAATTAATCGTAGAAATTAATTTCATTTATAGATGTACATGTATATATATATCTCAAAATTATCATTGAATAGATTTCATTAAAGAAGAAGTCCGAGAATTACTGGAATTTTTAAAGGAAAGTGAACCCGAAGACATAGCTGCGGTATTTAGAAGTTAAATCTTTTCTTATTTATGTGAAATTAACATTACTTATAATCTGAACATTGAACAAAAACTGTATTTGAGTATTTTAAGATGTTGACACTTATTAGTGAATTTGTAACCAAATAAATTTCCCATTTGAGCATTTATTTTACAATCACAAATTCTTTTGCTATCTTAAGTGTTGTCATATTTACAGTCACATGTTATATCACATGTTTCGGATGATAATTCTGACTCAACCTTTTGATTCCTTAAACTTATAGCTACCAACAAAGGAATGGAGAATGGTATTAATAACATTAGTACCTTAGTCTTTGTTTGTAAGGCTCATTATTATAACTGTATTTCAGGAGAACTTTTATTTCTATGTCTGGAAATGATTCGATCCAACTTAGACTTTAAAAAATCCAGTCAACCATGGTCGATCTACCATCCCTATACTGGATTCCTAAACTTCATAAAAATCCTTCCAAACAAAGATACATTGCCGGGTCTAGCAAATGCTCTACCAAGCCCCTATCTTTGCCTCTTACAAAAGTATTAACCGCTGTAAAGGAGAAACTTCAGAATTACTGTGGTGCTACGGAATATTTTAGAAGTGGTGTACATCAGATGTGGATTCTCAAAAACTCATAAGAACTTTTAGAAAATTTAAAATCACCATTTTTTTCTAAAGTCAATAACATCAAAACGTACGACTTTTCTACACTTTATACACCCATTCCTCACGGTAAATTAAAACCCAGGCTTTATTATAGACAACTGCTTTTTCAATAAAAATGGAACTCGGAAATGTTCATATCTTGTTGTTATCAACAAAATTACTTTGTATAAATCACTCTGATTCTACCCAAAAGTACTTTGAAGTTGATATTTAAAAGGATGCTGGAGTTCATCATTGACAACATATATATAGTCTTCGGATGAATTTCGATGGGCACTAATTGCTATTAGACTATTGTTTTGATATTCCAATGAAGCAGAATTTATTCAAAAACCTACATGAGAAGAAAACACTTGCTGAGGCCTTCAACTCGATATTCAGATATTTAGACTACGTTTTATCAATTAACAATTCCATTCATATGTCTACTCGGTATATCCCACTGAACTCGAAATAAAAGATACCACAGAGTCTGACACATCTGTTTGACTGTATGACAAAGGAGGTGACTTCAGCGTTTCCATCTTCAACGTTCCTTATTTGTGCAGTAATATTCCGTTATCACTTGCATATGATGTTTACGTCTCCCAAGTTATTCGATACTCAAGAGCATGCTCTGAGCACGATCATTTTTTTTTAACCGAGACAGGTTACTAACAGAAAAGTTGATGTTACAGGGATTTCAAAAATCTTGTTTAAAGTCAGCATTTCGTAAATTCTTCGGTAGTTATAATGACCTTGCTAACAAATTTAATATATCATCGGCTCGTATTTTGACTGTCGCGTTTCATACAAATTGTTAGAACTTTGATTTTATACTAAATTTGACTGCTAAATGCTCCGTCTACCTGATCAATATATAGGGCCCACGGCGGGTGTAACCAGTCAACAGGAACCTGATTCCACCTCTGGAATTTCCAGGGGTCTGTGTCTTATGCCCTGTTTACAGATTTGTATTGTTTGAAGATTTTTTGAGATCGATCACTGTTGGTTATCGTCACCTTTTTCATTCTATAAAAATTATTCGATCAATTTTATGTAATTTTTTTCAAATGTTTAGTTTAATCTCGTAAAACCTGATTTTACATTTTATGAAACAAGCATTTCTCCGGTATAAAATCATCCTTTACAACAACAAAGGGTATGACTATGTTTATATTGAATTTGCATGAAAGAAGATAAAAAAAAATGAATTGTAGTTTTGTACCATTGATGATTAGACTAATAAATATCTTGATTTAAAATAATACTTATCAACATTTCAATGCAGGGCCTGATGCCTCCAAGGGTTGTAGCATAATCGTCTTCAGTTCTCTTTACATACAATTTATTCGCTTCGTAATTTTCAAACAAAAATTTCGATTTACAGGAGAATATGTTTTTGAAAAGTAATTTTTAAAAATCTTGTTAACATTTGTAGGGAAAAGTGCAATTTTACTCAGATTTTACTAGACACTGTCGGGTAACAAATGAAAAAAGATTAGTCCAAATATTACCGAATATTCACATTCCATACTCGGTTTACTTCTAAGCTACATGTACTTATATACTTCCATGTACCATGGATCACAAAAATGACGCCACAATGTATAAAGATGTGTAAGAAGAAATATCTGTTTTAGAATATTTATATAAAAAAAATATAACTATATATCTTAGTATACATTTAAGATGGTAGATAAATATATATGTAAGCATTAAATAACTTTTATGTCAGTGCTATCAATAATACTCATTGTGAATCCACATCTTGAAAATGCGCTGACGCACATTACTCCGAAATTATTTTGATTCGTTGGGGGGGAGGGGGGTTTGACAATTTTCGGTGGTAATAAAAATTTTACTGGTTCGCGGGGACGTAATTTTGGGGTAGTAAATGTATACAAATAATTCTTCTGACGAAGCTATTTTTGGTGAGTATCTACCCAATAAACATAAAAACAAAAGAGTAGAATTACTCTTTAAATGCTTCTTAAATAGAATATTTTCGGACATATCATATTTTGTACTCATTTGACAGGATTTTTTTTTTATCTTTCTTATCTCTTTTGCTTTTTATTATCAAAATTTTTAACCTTTTACCATGCTGATTTTGGAAAAAAATTTCTTCGAAAATAAATTTATTCTGATGTTGCATTGTGTCATTTAGAGAATCGACCACGAAGAGAAAGGAAGGAGGCTTTTCAAAAATTACTTTGGTCAGGAGGGTCTTGATTTGACCCAAAAAAGAAAAGTCAAGAAAAATAAGGGACAGAAATCTACAGAGGAAGGAGGTCTGAAAAAGCTTGATAATCAGGAAAAACACAGTAAAATGATCGACGAAGAGGTAAGGACTCTCTCTCTCGCACACAGTATTCTACATACTGTTAAATTCAGAGAGCAAAATATCTTAAATAACGTTTTTATAAGAGAAAATCTATCTTATACTTACATCTAGAAAAATAAAAGTATAACTAGCAATAAAAGAAAATATTTCCTATTTCATTTCTTTGAAAAAAAAAATGCACAATTATGAGGAGCATGCACATTTTGAATAGAACGTGATACAAAACTTAAAATATAGCATCAAATAGCTGTGAAGACCTAGAGAGGAGAAAACAATTAATAGCAATTTTAACCAATATCAATTGTAAGATATTCATAACAATAGAGACAAGGAAAATCATTATGTATTAAATCGTGTTTACTGAAGTGAAAGATTAAGGTTCATCGATAATCTGATAAGAGAGATAACTCTTAATGACATATATGTTTATTATTCCTTTATAAATTCGTCAAGTTGAAGTGTATTTTTTGTCCAAGTCTGTCTAAAGCTGTGCTACAATTGTTTGTATTTTACTTTAAAAATCCTTTTTTTTTGAAAATCATAAGAGTTAAAAAAACAATTTATATGAGTGAGCAGAGGGTTTATGAACCTTAAGACATTGTCAATATAATTTCTTTGCAGGAAGTTGACCCTGACGACGTACGGTTAATGGAGTTACTGGAAGGAATGGCAGTAGAGAAAAACGGAAGGGTTTTCAAGGTGAGCTTAACCTATCTGTCAATCTTTAAAGACCCTCTATAAAATATTATAAGCCTCCGGATATTGACTCGGTTGACTAATTTTTTTTCATAATTGAATAAACATGGGCAGTTTAATCAATGAAGCAATTAATTGAAGCCCGTATAATCTGATGCCCTTAGGATAAAGTCTAGTCATTTAAGCGGAGCCTGAACTAGTGTACCACATAATTGTTCGAAAATAAAACAAGTGTCATCAAATCTAGAGCCGAACAAGAAATTCATCTCTTAATACAGTTTTCTATCAGAGAATAAAGTTTGACGATATGAACTTTATGATAGAAATATTTCATTTAAAAAAATCTATTGCAGATGTTTGGGGTTAACTTTATTTTCTTCTCCCTCTTTGATTTATATACAGGGCTCCATTAGGATCATCGTCGTACGTGGGTTACATATTTTATATACATATTTTACAAATGTAATTATTAAATTAATGTATAAATTCTTATAGAACATCGTGTATTACGATGAGATTTTTTTTTTAGAAAGAGCATTTGTATTTTAACCTATGATTATTTTCCTTTTGCCCTTTTACTTGTTTTATCATATATTTGTAGAAAAATGACCTAAATAATGATTCATAAAGTTTGATTTTAATAATTCAATACTATTGTTTATTCTAAATCGCTATTACCCCCCTCCCATTTGCAAAGTTTTCTTTTGTTAACAATGAATTACAATAGAAAACAATAGTTTACAATAATCCATATACAAATCTTTACTTTTTGTCTATTCTCTACTATGACACCTGATTACTTTAAAACTTTGCACTAGGTATCAATTTTAAAGATTTAGAGCATTGATATACAAGTACTTGTATCTCGGATTCCATATTCAAAAAACATAAAAACCAGGGATATAATTTAATGTACTATGCAGCAATATCACTTTAAATATCAAAAATTCACATTTAAGTATAAGAATTAAAAAAAAATATTCTAAATATTCCATTCACATATGAGGGAAAATTGAAATTTTGATTTACTTCGCCATGAACTTTGATTAACTTTGGTATTTTAATATAATTTTGTTATCTAAACACTTTAAATTCTTTTTTGGTTAAGCCCCCTATGAAATATTCAGTTTTATTTTCCCCCTTTACCCAGTATAGAAATTTTGTTTTCTTTTCTTTTTCTCTAAGTTATTATGAATGAAAAGAAAATATTTATGTTTCGAGTGAATGTATAAAGCTTTTATATTTTGAAGGCCAAAGGTTTGCATCCCGAGTTGTCAATGATTGCAAAAGGTCAAGGTATGGACAAGCACCCCTTTACCTCAGAACAATCTCAGATAGAGCAGATATCGGGAGATCAGGTACTACTAGTATTCTAATGATTTTGTTCGAGTGAGAATCTCTAAACACACGGTTAGTTTCAATCGTATCTGCATGTACAATCCTCATATAAAAATAATATCAATGTCATCTGCATCTACAATTCTCATATAAAAACAATATCAAAGTCACCTACTCTTACGACATTTTTTTTTATTTGATGGCAAAAGAAACCTATTTAATATGTTGCGTACAAATGCTTTTGGGTGAATTAAAAAAAATGACCAAACGCATATTTATCAACCCACACTAAAAATACAGGCAATGAAAATAGATTTCTATGTCTCAGCATTTGTCTTTAGATAGTGTCTAAATACCTGCCAAATATCTCGTTGATATCTCAATTAACAAAAAAGTTATGCCCAAAAATGACGCTAAAATTGTCAGGAGTGCAACACCTTTTTGTGACATTTTGAAATTTCAATATTTTTTGGAGATCTGTGAAATAAATAATAATGCTTTATGTTGAAATTAAAGACTTTCCTGATTATATTCAAAGTATTGAGCTTTAAATGTAGGCTGTAATAACTTTTGTTTAATTTGTTTAATCAAGTTGTGGTCATGGCTGATGTTTAAAAAAATGTTATACCATGTCAGGAGTGCAACAGAAAAAATGTAGTGTTGCCAAAAAAACATCAATTGTAAAATTCTGAAAGAAAATTAAGACAAAAAAGAATTTTCGAAGTGTAAAACAATAACTGATATACATTTTAGAACTTAAAAATGTTATATGAATCACAAGCAGCATTAATTAGAGTCAAGTATAGGTGCATACCCAATAATGTCAGGAGTGCAACATTTGATGTTTTGCTCCCAAGCATAAAAAAACTATTATCATTATATGATTTTCTGATTTCTATTTGGAAAAGAAAGACACAAAGAACATTTTTACCAAATAGATTTATCAATTACAGGATCTATCTGTGCTTCAGATCTATATTTCTATGGTCAGGAGTGCAACACATTTTTTTAATGATTCAAATTGTGTGACGAAAACACTTCTATTCATGCTTAGAAGTATTCATTAATTAATAATGATCTTTTTGTATAATTTAATACTAAATTATTGACAGTTTTATTATTAAAATCCTTCCTTTTTCAATTTTATCAATTCAGATGTGTTTTTATCTTTTTTGTGATTTTTTTTAATGAATGTAAAAAATAAACACACTAAAAAATTGTCATAAAATTCAAGTACTAGTAATTCCTCCTCAACTTCACTGAAACAACAGAACAAGTTCTTATGTAATTTTCACTTCACAATTCTACTTTAAAGGTCCCAATGCTTTTGGTCAGGAGTGCAACAAATATGTTAGAATTATAAATCATCCAATAAGAATAAAAATAAAGAAAAAATGATGAGTAGAATTTTTCTGGTGGGTTACTGTGCTTGTCCTCTAAAGGAAAATATGCTATAAAATATATTTTATCTTCAAAATATACATTTAAGCTAGTTTTTTGGCATAAATAGGGAATAATTCCAGATAAAATACGAATTTCAAATACTTTCATCAGTTTTAATTATGACGTATTGGACTATAAATATTGCACAATTTCATTACCACTTGATGTTGCCAACACTTTATGAATTTTTGTGTTCTACAGTTTTAATTTTAAATTTTACTGCAGTCAGGAGTGCAACAAAACTGCTTTATAATTATCAATGCTTTTTAACTATCTTTACTAAAAAATAAGTTGAAAAAAATGTTTGATACTATTTGATGTTCAAAACAATATGTCTATCAACAAATTACAGAAATTTTCTAGTCAATTCAGGGAATAGTTTTCATCATTTCACATATAGTTTTATATACAATTTATATATATTACACTTTGCAAATAATCATGTGTTAAAGTCTTCAAAATATGAAAAATCTGCCGTAAACGATCAAAAATATCAAAACGACAAATTAATTTACAAAGTAAGAATGGGTTATTGTGTGTTATAATTTTTAAAACAACGTTAAATAAAATACACATCAGATGTCAGGAGTGCAACACAATTATGTAACATAGGGTCACTTCAAAATCTAGTATTTTTTTGTAAGAGAACTCGTATATAAAAATTCTTTTTTGGCTTAGATTTAAAGAATTGGCTTGAACAGACAAAAAAGTGAAATTTGGGGAATTTTATTGCTTCATATTTTTTTCATAATTATTAAAACTTTTCAAACCAGAATTGAAAAAATAATGTAAAATAACAATCAAAAAGCCAATTTTTTGTCACATATACAAGAGAAGATACTCAATCAAGGTCTAGATTTAATCATTTATACCCCTTTTACCATTTTGAAGCATAAAAAACTATAATTTCTTGTGATTATGTATTTTAGAAAGGCTTTTAAGGTGTAATGATATTTTCTTTTTCAAAAGAAATTTTACTAATAAAAATTCTGAAACTTTTTAATCCAATTGTCTATTCTATTGCCACTTCAGGATTTTAAACTAGAATGCATGTGCAATATGATGATATAAGTGAAAAATATGTTAGAAGTAGTTGAATTTTTCCAAAAAATTTCAGTTTGGTGGTCATTTTTTTTGAATTCACCCTTTTACGATCTATTGACTCTGCGCTTCAGGTACGCAGAAAAAAGAGAAGTTTTTGGAGGGCAGCTTGGAAGTGGCCGAAGAATATCGTTCCTTTTGATATAGACAACAACACTATAGGTAAGCCCATGGTATGGTTCCATAAAGTGTACTAGTATTTGTTTATTGTCACTGAAGTTAAGATGACATTTACAGTGTACTTGGCTTTAGATTGGGTCTAATTTAGTCAGATATATGGATTTCAAAACTGCGTTCGTATGGATAATGCTAGGAAGTGAAATTGCAAGCTTTTTTTAAAAAAAAAAAAAAAAAAAAAAAAAAAAAAGAAGCTGTCCATTTTTCACGAATTTCACTCAATCCGAAACATAGAAAATATATATATATTTTTTAAAAAAGAATTCAAGACAAAACCTTGCAAAAGGTGTGGGGGGTCCTTTTCGATCTTGTTACTGAGGTAGCACTGACTAAGACATTAGTTGAAATCTTAGAGTTTTAATTCACTACCACTTTAACAACCATGGCTGTATCGGAAAGTTTATATTGTAATGAATGTTTATAGATCTATAATATCTTTTGTCATGGCAATAACTATTTCCCGCATTAAAGGCCTGTAGTATCAGCAACATGTATTAAAATATTTACTTGATAAGATAAAAAATAGCAAGAATTCATCACAATATAACCAATACATATCTTGAAGACATCATGGTAAAATGATGCTTTCTCAATAATATTGTGGAAAGCATCTTTCTTCCTGCTATTCATATATAGAGAGCCAACATGGGTAGGTACCAGATTTTCAACATTGTATCAAACCATACACTTTGCAGTTGCTTGAACAATATTCATGGAAAACTCCCATGTTTTTGCAGTAAAAGAAAGCAGCTACACTATCTTCAACAAAGCAGCTGAACTCTTTAACAATTTAACCTGTCTTAAGTGGCTGCCTTACACACCGGAACTAGCAGAACGAGTGGGTCACAATAATTATGTACAATTCCGTGATTCCGAGTAAGTATATAGTTTAGATCTATTTAACCAGAGTTCTTTATAATCTTGTAAAACCCTACTCTTTTTTAAATTTTGGATGTTATATCTTGGTATGGAGGCATATATACCCCCCCCCCCCCCAAAAAAAAAAAGGAGAAAAAAACTGAATTCAAATTTTCTGAATTACCCCCCAAAAAAACTTTTTTCATAAACCATCTGAATTATTTCTAAACCAGTTTGTAATGGGGACAGATATTTTGAAACAGCCTTTATGATAGTAGCTTAAAAAGAGAATATATTTGACAATAGTCTCCTTATATACAATTTTATCATGCAACAGATCTAAATGTATTTAAGAAAATAAAAATATCTAAAGCACTTTTAGTCGAAATACTCATATTTGAGGCCAATACGTAAATTTGGTTTGTAATGTACCTTTTTGTAGTGGATGTTGGTCCTATGTTGGGTACATAAGAAGCAGTCCTCAGGTGATTGGAATGTCACAGAGGGGATGTATGAGTGTAAGCTTATTAATGACATAAATTATTGATACATCACTTAAAATATCAAGATCTGAGAGGAGAAAATGTTTGCGCACTAAAGAGAACTTTCAAACTTTCTGTCAAAGGACCTCTTGGTATTCTTTTTATAATTTGTTTAGTTTTGATAGTTTTTTTTATTTTTTGGATCTCTGTTTAAAGGAAGAGCAAATCTTAAAACAAATTCATACAGTCTTTCATTAAACAGAAAAGATATGTGAAATATGAATTGTGAAGTATGAACTGTTTTTTGAAGGTTGGGATAGCTGTGCATGAGATGCTTCATGCCGTGGGTTTGATGCACGAGCAGTCACGCACTGACCGTGACGACTACATACGCATGATCAAAGAAAATCTCAAGCATAACTTTCACAATGGTAACATGGCAAAGACTAGCACTTTTGACCGCAATGCATATGACTATGAAAGCATTATGCAGTACGGTTTATGGGTAAATATCTATATAATGATCATTTATAAACCCAGGAAAAAAAATTCATTCATTATTTTAATTTTGAACCATGTTTTCTACCCCATTAAGATATTATAAAAATTATCAATAAATTAGTTTTGTGATAAAATAAACATGCTTGTAATGTTTATCTGATATTTTGAATCTCAATTTACAACACTGCTCAATTGTGAAAACTTAATAGCAAAAAATATAAAATGAATTATTCGTAAAAATTTACCCATTTCAGTCCTTTTCCGTCACTGGAGGTCAAACAATGGAGTTTTTGGACAGAGATCTGGAGTTTCTGGCTGGGACGGGGGCCGGGGTCGGTCTTGATTTCTATGATGTAAAGGATATAACCGCAAATTACCAGTGTGCTGGTGAGTTTCTGTTGACTTAATATTTTAGATATCAACCGGTTTTCGGGCCTTCCAAAAGCTGTTGACAATCTTTTCCACTCACTTATAAACAAAATTGCCTTCCCGCAAACATTTCCTGCAAGTCTGCTCCAAACATTTGCTGCAGACTTGCTGAAATGAGGATTAAGTAGGATGACAGCCTATACAAAGCCTTTATGTTTGCAGCAAACATTTATGCAAAATTGGTTTGCTACAAGTCTGCAGCAAACATTGGGTTTTCCAAATATGGAAACCATCTTTGGCACAGTCATGCATATTATCATTAAATTCGCAGAAAAGCTATACCCTGACCTTATTATGAAGACAATTCATCACATATGTCTGAAACTACCATGTAATATGATGGACGTTTCTTATAGTCTATCTTAACGTTAGTAGATAATGTTCCCATATAAGTATATGATTGAAATGTAATATAAAAGGTTTACACGCATAATTATTATGTTTATGACAGAAACTAGACACTAGAACCCTTTTTCATATGACTGTTTAATTAGAATAAAAGAAAAATTATGCTCAATTACCAATTTATGTGAAAAGCATTTCACAGACATTTATAATGAATAAATAATGAATACTGCATCTGTAGGAGAGTGTGTGAACCCACCAAGGTGTGAGAATGGAGGATTTGTCAATCATAACTGTGTCTGTTACTGTCCAAAAGGTTACCAAGGTGACACGTGTGAAAATGTGATCACTGATGATGGTAATTAACAACTTAATTAACGATTGAAGTATCACAGAAATAGTAATTGTTTAATGATATGAATATACATGTATATGCTATTTAAAGAATAAACTGAAAAGAAGCTTACTGCAACAATGTAGTTTTTGGGGTTCTTTTTGAAACAGAAGTAATAGTAAGGTAAATTCAACTTAAATATCTTTTCCCTCAGAGTTTTAACTTTTCTTTTGTACAGTTGTATTGTCTTTCTTAGTTATTGCACGTTCTCTTTAAAGTAAAATAATAGTTTCAATTCATATCAGTGAAGTATCTTGAAAAAAATGACCATTTGAGTATTTTCGAAGACTGTGGTGGAATGATAGAAGTTCCTCTCGGTAAAGATGTATTTGTGACGTCACCAGGGTATCCAGTATCTTACCCAATTGGAAAATTATGTAGATGGGGCGTAAAGGTTGGTATGAAACTCTTCCTCACATGTTTTTTTTTTCAAAAACTGTAGTCATATTTGCATTTGGCTGAAGTTAAACTTATTGCGTTGGAAGAAATTTTGATTGAATTTTATCTTTTAAAAAAACTACAGGCACCCGAGGGATGGTACCTTCGAATGACGGTAGAAGAACTCCACCTGGCGGACAACAATTTGAATAGATGTTACCATTGGCTGGAAATCCAATATAACCTGCCAGGACAGACAGGAATCAAGTCAGTACTGTAGTTGTTTAGTATACTTTAAAATACGAATAATTTAATTTCGAGAAGTTTGATTAAGACTGTGTCCACTATATATTTATGAGATATAATAACCCAACTGAAAAATTTCCATAAAACTAGATGATACTTTAGTAATGAAATATTACTACCGTATAGCGTGTTATTTTAGCGGGGTGTTAATTTTGGCTTATTTTGGCGTTTTGATAGTGGTCTCAAAATTTTAATCGCTAAAATATTCAGTGTTCGTCTTAGTGTAATTTGGCAAAGAGTTGGGACCCTGAGTCCGCGAAAATAAATTACCCCAAAATTATTGACATATCTTTAGCCAAACAAAACGCTGAATTTTACACCCGCCAAGAAAACCCGCTGTATCAGTACGGTGCTGACTTCTCTTGATCTAGATATGTGCATGGTAAAGGTAACTAAAATAATCTACACTTTGTTCAAGTTGACATAAACTCTTCCAAACTAAATGCATTGATTTGTTTTTGAATCTGTTTTAACAACGCCATATTTTTTCTTGTCTTGGTGAATAAGTTTCACATTTTCTTTTTAGTGATCAAAATTAGTATTCTGCTGTGCATTGTGGTTTCTGAATTGCAAATCTTTCGTTAAAATATCTAATTTATAACACATACGCATACTTGAATGTCACAAAAAAATATTCCATTGTAATGCGTGTGTGTGTTTAAAAAACACTGAAAGAAATTTGATGGGAGAAAGGGAGTGGGGTGGGGGCGAGGCTATACCAACCTTAACATTTTATAATCTACACTACACTGTTATCCCACAAAATCTGAAAATTACATAGCAATTTCTTTCGAATCAAAAGTAAAAAAAAAATATTTATGGATATTAGCGTTATAATACTGCACTAACATAGAAATGGAGTAGGCCTGTAATAAATTTTTATTTTATTGACTTAAATTTATCACCAAGTCTTAAGAGTATGCTCTGTAAAATTAAAAATAGATTCACGTTTATATGGTCAAATTTACCACATTTAAAAGTTTTGATTTTCGGCTTATATTTTTTTTTTTAAATCAAATTTGGATTTTTTTTGGTAATATACATGTACCACTAAGTCTGGAATTTCTCTTTCTCTGATGAAAAGCTATAATTTCTGCAAATGGGTTAATTTAAAAAAAAATGACCAAACATATATTTTTCAACCTGCACTAAAAGTACAGGCAATGGGAATAAATTTCTATGTCTCAGCTTACGTCTTTAGATAGTGTCTAAATACATGCGAAATATCTAATTGATATCTCAATTCACAAAAAAGTTATGCCCCAAAATGATGCTTGAAATGTCAGGAGTGCAACACCTTATTGTGACACTTTGAAAATTCAATATTTTTTGAAGATCTGTGATAAAAATATTAATGGTTTATGGTGGAAATAACGACTTTCCTGATAATATTCAAAGTATTGAGCTTTAAATGTAGACTGTAGCAACTTTTGTTTGACCAAGTTGTGGCCATGGCTGATGTTAAAAAAATGTTATATCATGTCAGGAGTGCAACAGAAAAAATGTAGTTTTGCCAAAAAAAAAAAAAAAAAAAAAAGTCGATTTGAAAAAATTTGCAAAATCAATCAAGTCAAAAAAGAATTTTCAAAGTGTAAAACAATAACTGATGTACAATTTAAAACTTAAAAATGTTATATAAATCACAAGCAGCATAAATGAGAGTCAACTATCTGTGCATACCCAATAATGTCAGGAGTGCAGCATTTGACGTTTTATTCCCCAGCATGAAAAAAAAACTTTTATCAGTATATGATTCTCTGATTTTTATTTTGGAAAATAAAGAGACAGAAAACATTTTTACCAAATAGATTTATCAATTACAGGGTATGTTTGTGTTTCAGATCTATGTTTCTATGGTCAGGAGTGCAACACATTTTTTTAAAGATTCAAGTTATACGATGAAAAAACTTCTACTCATGCTACGAAATATTCTTTAATTAATAATGATCTTTTTCAATAATTTAGTACTAAATTATTAACAGTTTTATTATTAAAATCCTTCTCTTTTTCAATTTGATCAATTCAGATGTGTTTTTATCTTTTCTTTGATTTTTTTAAGAATGTGAAAAACGCAGATATTGAAAAATTGTTATAAAGTTCAAATAATTCGACCTCAACTTCACTGAAACAACAGAACAAGTTCTGCTTTAATTTTCTCTTCACGATTCTACTTTAAAGACTCCCATGCTCTTGTTCAGGAGTGCAACAATGTTAGAATTATCGCTTATCAAATATGAATAAATATAAAGAAAAAGAATGATGAGTAGAATGTTTCTGGTTGACCTCAGTTGCTTACAGTGTTTGTCCTGTGAGGGAAAATATACTATAAAATATATTTTATCTTCTAAATATATATTTTAGCTAGTTTTTTTTGTATTTTAGAAAGTGTTTTAGGATATAGTGATATTTTCTTTTTGCAAATAAAGTTTTACTAATAAAAATTCTGAAACTGAAACACCAAGTGTTTTTTCTATTGCAACTTCAGTAATTGCAACTAGAATGCATGTACAAAACGATGATATAAGTGAAAAATATGTCATGGGTAGTTGAATTTTTTCAAAAAAATTCAATTTGGTGGTCATTTTTTTAAATTCACCCAAATGTGAATAAGCTTTATTTTCTGTTTTACTTATATGACCCGGTTTTTGTGAGATTTTACAATTACGGTTTCTGTTAGATTTACAATTATGCTTGACATTTCTGTGCTGATAATTTACTTGAAAGCTTTTCTGGTTTGTTCATGAAGTTATACCCTAAATTTCTGATGATTAATTAAACTTTCAAGATAGATCGGGGATTTTTTAACTTGAAAGAATGTGATTCTCTGCTGGTCTGTTATCTGAACTTAGTTACAATAATTATGACCATAAATTTTGTTTCGTTTTGTTTTATTTACTAAAGTACTAATTTAGAGGTCTGGTAAATAAATTATCAATAATTCAGCTTTTTGCTTTGTTGAATTGGAAGTAAGCCTTCTTTTCTATTCAGGCGCTGTGGAGATATTATTGGTGATCAGTGGACGGGATCCAAAGACAGTCCTAATTTTATGACGATTACATTTGACAGTAAATTTGTACAGGACAGACCCGTAGAAAAGGGCTTCAAACTCAGGTTTAACGCTGTTGGAAGAGGTTAGGCTAAGCATTTTATAAAATTGAAAGAAATTAAATTGGGATTTGTCTATAGCATACATAAATAAAACATACTAAATCTAAGTTGCACATTAATATTTAAGTGGAATAATGGTTATTTACTCGAAGAAAAGTTACAGGAAATAATATTGCCACTTCCACTTTTGTTTCCAGGCCTAGTCATAAAATGTAAGAAAGTCTCTAGAGAAAAGGGTCATATTTAATAATTACTGCGAGAATTCATACTCTGCTCATGAGAAACATTGGATAAGATTTTTCCTTTACATTTATGTGTTGAATTTTGGATGAAGTCTGTGGTCCACTCTGATTTCTTGTGGGGATGGGAAACTTTTATGTTCATTTCATAAATTGATTTATCGTTCCACCCAAAAGGGCATTGAACGATTTCTCGATCTTGATTTACCCTTTTACAAAGCCTTGAGGGTGAAACTAGAATATACCCGGTGTGGTATTCGTTAGGTAAATGTCTGATTCTTTGGTTTATTTTTCTTGTCTGTTATTTAGGATGTAAGGATAACCCTTGTGTATATGGTACTTGTCACGAAAGCAAGATGGATTGCCAGTTTACGTGTTCCTGTTATTCTGGTTTTGAAGGAAAGTTGTGTGACAAAATGTCAAGTAAGTTATTTTTCTCTTACTTATTACAATACAAAAATTCTTCGTCCAGAATTGTATGAAAAGGACATGGTTGGAATAGTGGACCAAAAAGGAATAGAAGTTAAACGGTGGATCAAAAATGAATAGAAGTTGGATCCATTTAAAGTGAAATACTTCACTGCCTATTGAGACTCTAAATGACTGAGACAATATACGTGAAAATAGCAAGTGTAGTGTTAAGTGAAAACAGATTAAACAAAGTAGCCATGTTGGGGTCAGAAAACTTCAACTGGTAATTGAAGCATCCTAACCCTATTCTGGCCATTGAGGATCTAAAGATTTAATGTATAATCACATATTTTCAATAAGACACATGAAGGGAAGTAGATATATGAGTATTTACCTATTTGAATTTGGATGGTGTAACTCTTTGAAAGTTGTCAATCCCCCCCCCCCCCCCAATAACGTCTCAGACATGGTTTACAACATGTTGCTTAGTGCCTCGATGTTCTTTGCATTTGTTAGTATACTATTTGAATCCACATAACTAGAATGGACATCTAGAAATCATCTCCACTTGTGCATTTCATACGATTACGTGTACATCAATCCATCTTCGTAGATGCATTTCACCTTTAACGATTTAGTTAAACCTACACTGAACATTTGAACAGGTGATGCCACATTTGAGTGTACTTTTGAAAAGACGAAATGTTTCCTAGACAACACCAAAGAAGGAGACGACTTTGACTGGGCTGTTAACTCGGTAAGTAATGTCTGTAATTTATACTTTGTTTATTCTAAATCAAATATAACATTTTACGCTCATTTTTGTAAATAATTATCTTTTCATTGAATTAATTTAAATCTTTACTAGGGCCCAAGTAGTTCACAAGGCACAGGGCCTGATAAGGCACACAAAGGAAATCGGTACATTTTTGCAGAAATGTCAGACCCTCGAGTCAAGGGAGAAAAGGCATGGCTGGTGTCTAACTTGGACCTGCCAGGTATTTCTATAAAAAATTCTAAGTCCCCTTACTCAATGAAATTTTTGGATTGAAATTTTTGGCTAAATACTTTTAACTTGTTTATATACATATATTTGTCAACTTTAAACTTATGCATAGCACCATGCAGACATAAATATAATACACAATTCTTGTGCTTAAAAGGCATGATAGTGGAAGGTTAGTTTTCGTTAATTTCTGTTGATTTTACTCAACCTAAGGAAGATCCATATTGAATTAGAATGCATACCATCAACTTTAAATTAAGTGATATTTATTTTCTGATATGAGTTTGACAAAAGTTTTAAGTATATTGTACTTGATTGGTCCTCCGTTTTGCGAGATCTGATTCTTTTGTAGCCTCAGAGAGATGCCTTTCTTTCTACTACTACATGTTTGGTCACACGGTTGATTCACTGAGTGTCCTGATCTCCGGGCAAAACAGCTCTCAGAGCGTCATCTGGTCTGAGACCGGAAACCAGGGCAGCAGGTGGAAATTCGCTCGTGTCAATATTCAGCAATTAGAAAAACTGAAGGTAATACGTGATCCACAAAATATTCAGATTATAACACATGGATCTGATAATCTATGCATCAGATCATCCTTTAATTAACTTTTTAAGTATATATTTTTCAAGTTTTTATAGAGATTCAAACTAGCAATGAAAACGTGTGCTCTGGGGATATAAGAGTATCTTGACAAAAAAGTTTGACCATAAGAGTATTTTCGAAGACTGTGGTGGAATGAAAGAAGTGTTCTACGAAAAACAAATCTGAATTCGAAAAAGATTATACCTGATTACGTTATTTATGATCAATATTTTTGTTAAACTAGATTGTGTTTGAAGCTGTTCGTGGTGAAGATTGGAGTAGTGATATTGCCTTAGATGACATAGTTCTTACTGTCGGAGCATGCGTAAATGGTTTGTATTTGACATAACCATGAATATGTTATAAATACAGAAAAACGTCTGAATATATTCATTTTGGCATAAATATAAAATCAAGTCTGTCAACTTTGACTTATGAGAATCAAATATTATTAAGTTGTGTAAAGATAACAAATGTTGAATGTTTTAAGTTGAATATCAATGGATAGTTGCTAATTTATGATTTATTTTGCGTTTTTTTTCTTAAAAGAATATATATCTTTCTGTCTTTGTATCTATTTACGTAGCAATATACCTTATCATATGCATGGAGTTTAAGTCTCCCAGTTGATTCGATATGCAAGAACATGCTCTACGTACGAACAATTTCCAAAACGAGGCAAGCTATTGACAAATAAGTTGATGAAACAAGGATATCAACAGCCTCGTTTAAAGTCAATATTTCGCAAATTCTACAGTAGATACAGTGACCTTATCAGCAAATACAATCCTTTCATTAAGTCGATTTTTGACTGGCGTTTTTTTATGCAAATTGTTAGGCCATTATTTTCATACTGAATTGTCTGCGGATTATTCCGTTTGCCCGATCATGACAAGGGGCACACGGCGTATGTGACCGGTCGACAGGGAATGCTTCCTCCATGGCTTTTGATTCCAGCTCTGGTGTTTTAGTGGTCCGTGTTTTATCTACTCCCAATCTATATTGTTTCAGTGGACTTTTGAGCTTGATTACTAATCGTTATTTTCATAATTCATCTAAGTGTCCATCTTTTACTAGGTTCATCCATTCAACTACATCGTTTCTTTTTTGTGTGTGTTTCCCTTTTGTAAGTCTATAAATACAGGTATTAAATAAGGATCATAGGTATTAAATTCAATTGATAACAGTGTACAAGTGTATACATGCATATTAGTATTTTGTTTTCTATGTTACGAGGGTTGTCCGTAAAAGTCGTGGACAAATGGTATAATTTCCTGAATAAAGTCCGCACTAACAAAATATACAATAATATTTTATTATAAACCATGATTAAGTAAATATATAAAAATTAAAACAATACACACTATTGTATGATAGTTATAGGTGTAAATATTTGTATATACAATCCGCACGGCCCAATCTGACGTAAAGCTAATTTCATGACAACATCAAAAATTTGGATTTTGAATTTTTATCATATGATCATCAACAGGCGCTACATTTTCTTTATTATGCCACACTGCCAAGAGTGTGCAATAATATTTATGTATAGACCATAATTGATTTAATTTTTAAAATTCAAAACAAAACGGGATAATTTACGAGCGTCATCAATATAAACAGTTCGTATACATAGGCAACACAACCCAATCCGACGCTGAGCTAGATTTATAACAACGTCATGAATAGAAATATCCTATTTTCATCAAATAACAGTGTCTCTGAAATTGTACACACCGTTGAAAAGTCGTGTAAACCAATCTCAAATCAATGAACTAAATATATTCCAATAATTCAGAGTTGTTTGAATAAATACTTTGTCTCTGACTTCGTTTCAACCATATTTAAACATAATTTTATAAGACGTTTTTCCGTTCGGATGGCCGACGTCGCTTTTTCTGTCAATTTTTGAAACATATTTCTTGCGACTTTTACTTAATATTTTCACTGTCTGTATAATAAGGCGATACTAAAGATATCAGAAAATGACGATAGCCGCTTTATTTGTAACATATTCAATTTTTATTAAGCTTTGACTTGTTTTATAAAGAAAATAATCATTTTAATTAGAACACTTTAGTTCAAAGTTTATGTTATTTTAACCCTGGGCCGTGCGCACTATCTGCAACCTTGAAAGCCCCAATTTTTACAACAACAAAAAAAATTAAGTTCAAACAAATAACAAACAAACTATTCTGACTTTGATTTTAATAAAAAATATTTTGATATGCAATAAGTATATACATGTATGTAGAACCATTCATTTTGACAAAAACGTCATTGTCCACGAAATTTATGGACAACCCTCGTATATCCAAGAATTGGATTTTTTATCGGCCCGTTTTCGTAATTCCCAACTAGATTGGGTCTTGTTAAAATTGGCAGAATACAAACAACATGTCTAACGCTGTGTTCAAGTCTCTTAATTAATATGAATGATGATGTACTAAAGACCTACTCAATTTACATACATGTAAAGTCACTTTTTTAATTATAAAGGAAATGGCTTACAAAAAATGTAGGAAATATGGCCATTCAGTATGATTGTTGAAAATGTACATATCAGTCTGCATAATTTATCATAAAATCATTCTGTTTCTGAACAATTGGCAAAATACTAATCTTCATATTGAGGGTAATTGTTAACATTTTAATTTTCATTTTTAATAAATTTTCAATTTGAGTTATTTCCATAAACATGATAAAGAATATGGTAGCATCTTGTTTTCTTATCTAATAACAAATATTTACAATTTCAAGTTCTATATTAGTCTGTGTAACCAATTTGAGTTTGAAGAATTTTTTGTAAATATTTGTAAATTCCTTTATCTCAATAAATTATTAGCTGCCAAGCTTAATATTTTTCAAAGATAATGATTAGAGAAATATTATGACAATTATATTAAAAAAAATTTAATTTAGTAGCCTGGTCTTTGAAGTTTTGGCCTATCAATATGTACTAAATTTATCATTTCTTCAAAATTGTGCCAATTTTTAAGAGTTGTTTGTATGATCAAGATATAGTGACCTTCAATTTGGACAGTATTGCATGGTTTTTTGGCAGACTGGCTCTAAAATATAATTTACAACCTTTTCGAATATGAATTACAAGATTTTGCATATATATTAATCACACGCTTACGAATATGAATAAAAATAAACGATAAACTCAGTAAATAACTATACATGTAAAAGAATATACACCACGATTTTACGAATATGAATGAATGACAACTTTTCGAATATAATTCACAAATTCTTGCATATAAATCAAAAGATTTTGCACATAAATCCCGAGATATCTATGATATTGCATGCAACATTTTACAGAAAATAAAATTATTATCTTAGAATATATGTATGTCATGGACAATTAGAAAAAAAATATTCTCTTTTAATTACGTAATCAACACGCTAGAAATGATAAGAGAAAATTTGCATATGTATGAATCAAATGCATAAAACATTTTTATTTTTACAAAATATATTAAATTTTTGGTGACATACATGTATCTCTGAAAAACTGGAAGAAATTCGTTATTGTCATGTAAGAGTCCATGTGATTACAATATCAACCTTACATTGCAGTGACTGAAAATATTGAGTGTGTGAAATCAAACCGAGGCGGGGATTACAAAGGTAAAGTTAACATAACAAGGACCGGAAAGGCGTGTCAGCCCTGGGCAGACCAATCGCCCCATTCACACTCCGGCTATGCAGCCCTAGTCAATGATTCCAATTACTGTCGGAATCTTTACCCCCAGAGCAATGACTACCACCCGTGGTGTTACACTATGGACCCGAACGACCGGTGGGATTACTGTGACATACCTGCTTGTGGTACTAGTATTTGTTTTCAGTGTGTATGAAAATATCGTCTGTTTGACGTTCGATAGGTGTTGTTCTAATGATCTGTGCTGAAGATATTTTTTTTTAATTTCTTTCAAAAAAATGAAGCCTGTTTATATTTTTCAAATTATAAAAATATTAAAAAAAAGCACATTGACCAGTTAGGAAGTTTACTTGTTCGTAATGTTTTTTGTATTGCAAATATTGGTTATGTAAAATAAATCCCACCATTTTGGTTGTAGAATATGAAGAATGCAGACGTTCAAGTATCGGATACGAGTATGCTGGAAGAGTGAGCAAAACAAAGTCCGGGAAAACGTGTCAGAGGTGGGACTCCCAGTCACCTCATGAACATCCGTATGCGGGTCTGATGGCCCACGAGAATTACTGTCGGAACCCCAGGGGGAGAGAGCAGGAACCCTGGTGCTTCACAGAGGATAACTCCACACGCTGGGAATACTGTGAAGTGCCAATGTGTAGTAAGATTTCAAACAAAGTACATCCCTTCTTTTTTCTGTTGCCTCGTTTGATCCTGAGACTGGCGTTAGTTACTGGCGTAGTATATTCTGCAAAACTTGTTTTAAAGCTGAATATATACACGTGCAGCTGGCTTAATCCTGATATGTGGAATAGAAGTAATCTGTTTATAATCTTAGGCATACCTCTTCTTAGGTTTGCAATGTTTTCAAACAGGCAAAAAGCATTAGTTTAATATTGGACTTTTGTACATTAGATACACTCGTTTAATTTACATTTAATGCTGATATATAAAGATATATATCTTATCCGTTTCAGATGACGAAGCTCGGGAGTGCGCATTGCTAGCTCAAAATATAGATTACTTTGGACAAATCAACACAACCACAAGTGGTCGATCATGTCAAAGATGGGATCAACAGAAACCGCATTCTCATTCAAGTTAGTAAGTTTAGACGAAAAGTTAAAGATTACGTGGTATGAGCACTCATTCGTTATATCTCTATTCAGAATAAACAAGTTATACTGTAAATGTACTGTACTGTTATATTTGACAGTGCCGCTGACATCTGCCCAGGAGAACTACTGTAGAAACATGGGCGGTGAAGACCGTGCCTGGTGTTATACCACAGACTCCGACAAACGATGGGAGAGGTGCAATATTCCATCTTGTGGTAATATCCTCCATATTGATAAAAGATATATATATGATATATGCATCGCTGTTCTACTACTGTTCTACTATTGGTTAAAGGGGAAGGAATAAATACTAGGATATATACGAGTACATGTATTAATCCATCCTCCATGGCACCTGATCCCACCTCTGATGTTTTTGGAGGTCCCTGTTTGCTCTGCTCCCGATTTGTATTGTTTTAATGATCTTTGAGCTTGAATACTGTTCGTTATATCTCCATATTTTATTATTATATAATATTTAAGGTCAAATGATGCATTCCTCAGATATGTGTTTTGTATATCTTTGTAATGTTTAAAAAATGTGTAAAATCATATAACCTTATGCTTTCTAAACTGGTTTCAAATTGTCTTAAAAAAATCAAAATGCTAAAATTTTTGATATGATATTGCCAATTTAAGTTATTTGCAAAAGGATTATATAAGGAAACCATCATCTGGTATCTTGCACAAATATCTGGTAAGGCACCTCAATTTTTTGTGAGTAAACATATGTTAAAGTAGCAATACTTCAATGATAAAATCTTAGAAAAATTTATATATTATTTAGGGACGTATCGTCTGTCCTTAATCAATACTTGTATTTTGTTAGGTTCAGGGATGAGTTCAATCGGAATATAAAAGAAAATTACATTTTTAAATGAAGTCAATACTGTTTTTTTTAATAATCAGACAACCTAGCGTGTTTTTCAAACCCATGTTACAACGGAGGGACATGCACTAATAATGGAGACTCCTATAATTGTTCCTGTTTCCCGGGTTACCAAGGAGACAGATGTGAAACTGAGAGTCAGTATTTCTTGTTACTTACCTGTATAACCTGAATTCAAAATTAATCATTAGACATTAAAATTCCATATTTTAGAATCCACATCAAAGCATCATGTGGAATCACTTTAGCCAAAAACTAGTATTTAAAAAAATAACATGGGTTTCTCATGTATTTTAAGTTCCATTAAGGACGGAGAACTGTAAACGGTCCAATACCGGTTGGGAGTATCGAGGAACAATATCGGTAACAGTCAACAACCGTACCTGTCAAAGATGGAACGAAACTTCTCCACATAGACATAGCTTTACCACGTCAATGGCTAGTCATGAGAACTATTGCAGAAACCCAGATAAAGAAGCTGGCCCGTGGTGTTACACTACTGACCCATATAAACGATGGGAACTCTGCGATATACCGACTTGTGGTAGGTATACCGTGTCTGAAGCAGAAATATATCAGTGTAAGCTATTAATGGGAAATATTAATATTACATTTAATCGGATTGCTTTTTTTCATTTTCGATGGAGTTCAAGGATTTTTTATTTTTATGATATTCCAAACATCTCTCATGACTTTCGCACCCCGTAGTTTGGTATGTTTATGTAATGTATGAATATATAATCAGATATTCTTATTCATGTCCATTGTCCTTAACATGATATATATTGAATGGAAAACACGCAGGATAACATAATATGCAATTATTATTTAACTGTATGACCGAAATTATGAAAAGTGATCGATCAGAGGAATACCTTTCTTACCGTGCACTAATCTGTGTTCAAAATTATAACTGTGAAATGTATCACGCCAAAAAAAAATGTCCTCCTCACCTTAGCAATGCAATAGCCAGACCCTTTTAAACTTTTGTCAACCAAGATTGCAAGAAATTCAAATTGACTGTAAAAACAAGGAAACGGTGTTTATACCTCCAGAGTATCAAGTGGTATGACAACATTTGCTGACGAACTTGGCATCATCAATCTGCAGGTGTTTTGGGCCTTTGTACCATTTTCGTGTTCAGTTAATAAGTTTATACGAACCTTTTTCATGTTGCAGACACTCCACCATCTGAATGCTTAAATGTAGTTCGAGGAGAGGATTATTTTGGCCATGCCAACAAGACTAGAAATGGCTACACGTGCATGCGCTGGGATTCCCAATCGCCACATAAGCATGGGTATAAATACATAGGGGATCAAGGGAACTACTGTCGTAATCCGTACGGAGAAGAACCTAAGGGACCCTGGTGCTATACCACAGATCCCAACAAAAGATGGGACTATTGCTCTGTTCCTCTATGTGGTAAGCGACTAAAACAAGAGTTGGGAATATTGCTCTGTCCCTTTAGGTGGTAAGTGACTACAATAAGAGTTGGGAATATTGCTCTGTCCCTTTAGGTGGTAAGTGACTACAATAAGAGTTGGGAATATTGCTCTGTCCCTTTAGGTGGTAAGTGACTACAATAAGAGTTGGGAATATTGCTCTGTCCCTTTAGGTGGTAAGCGATTAAACAAGAGTTGGGAATATTACTCTGTCCCTTTATGTGATAAGTGACTACAACAAGAGATGGGAATATTGCTCTGTCCCTTTATGTGGTAAGTGACTACAACAGGATATGGGAATATTGCTCTGTCCCTTATGTGGGAATTGACTACAATAAGAGATGGGAATATTGCTCTGTCCCTTTAGGTGGTAAGAAACTACAATAAGAGATGGGAATATTGCTCTGTCCCTTATGTGGTAATTGATTACAATAAGAGATGGGAATATTGCTCTGTCCCTTATGTGGTAATTGACTACAATAAGAGATGGGAATATTGCTCTGTCCCTTATGTGGTAATTGATTACAACAAGAGATGGGAATATTGCTCTGTCCCTTTAGGTGGTAATTGATTACAATAAGAGATGGGAATATTGCTCTGTCCCTTATGTGGTAATTGATTACAATAAGAGATGGGAATATTGCTCTGTCCCTTATGTGGTAATTGACTACAATAAGAGATGGGAATATTGTTCTGTCCCTCTATGTGGTAATTGATTACAATAAGAGATGGGAATATTGTTCTGTCCCTCTATGTGGTAATTGATTACAATAAGAGATGGGAATATTGCTCTGTCCCTTATGTGGTAATTGATTACAATAAGAGATGGGAATATTGCTCTGTCCCTCTATGTGGTAATTGATTACAATTAGAGATGATAATATTGTTCTCTTCCTTTATATGGTAAGTCAAACCAAAAAAAGGTAATAAAATTAAGCTAAACTGAAAAAATGTAAAAAGATAATGTTTTATATCTATACCTTTTTAGAAATTTTATACATAGAAAAATGTAGAATAAAAATTTATCAACAATAAGATATATATTCCTAAAAATATGCACATCTGATAATGCATGCAACTAAACCTTCTGAACAATTACTCTTGATGATATATAAGCATATAATGTTGAATTCTTGCCGGAATTATTAATACAGGCTATTTAAGACGAACTTTTGTGGAATATTTTCTTTTTGTTTTAGGTGGGAAAATCTAACCCGAAGATAGATGTCCACTCTGTTTCAGAGTGAATCATTTACGCGTACTAGAAAAATGTACAGCACCTCTACGAGCGGAGTTCCCATGATGATAATATTTTTATCATTATATATTGATTAACAGTACCCGATCATTAAATCATTAACATTGTGTTTTGGATTGTTTTTTGATATTGAAGGGTTTAAGACTGGTAAAAATCATAATTTTCCATGACTATGATGATCTTAAGGATGTCAGGGACCTGATAATTCATGGCTAATTAAACTTTGTGAGCTCAGCAGATTAAATTTGTGTTGAATGCTTGGATTGGCATATGAGTGAATTTTAAAAAAAAAAGACCAATCACATATATATTTTTTAACCTGCACTAAAAGTACAGGCAAAGGGAATAAATTTCTATGTCTCAGCATATGTCTTTAGATAGTGCCTAAATACCTGCCAAATATCTCATTGATATCTCGATTCACAAAAAAGTTATGCCCAAAAATGATGCTAAAAATGTCAGGAGTGCAACACCATTTTTTTTTTTTTTTTTTTTTAAAGATCTGTGAATTGGTAGAAATAAAGACTTTCATGATAATATATTCAAAGTATTGAGCTTTAAATGTAGACTGTTGCAACTTTTGTTTGACCAAGTTATGGTCATGGCTGATGTTGAAAAAAATGTTATACTATGTCAGGAGTGCAACAGAAAAAAAATGAAGTGTTGTCAATTGCAGGGTATGCCTGTGTTTCAGATCTATGTTTCTATGGTCAGGAGTGCAACACATTTTTTAAAGATTCAAGTTATATGACGAAAAGACTTCTACTCATGCTAAGAAATATTCTTCAATTAATAATGATCTCTTTGAATAATTTAGTAATAAATTATTGACAGTTTTATTATTAAAATCCTTCCCTTTTGCAATTTAATCAATTCAGATGTGTTTTTATCTTTTCTTTGATTTTTCTAAATATGTGAAAAAAAAATACAATGAAAAATTGTTATAAAGTTCAAGTAATTCCACCTCAACTTCACTGAAACAACAGAACAAGTTCTGATATAATTTTCGCTTCACAATTCTACTTTAAAGACTTCCATGCTCTCGGTCAGGAGTGCAACAAATATGATAGAATTATTTCTGATCAAATATGAATAATTATAAAGATAAATTGATGAGTAGAATGTTTCTGGTTGACCTCAGTTGCTTACAGTGTTTGTCCTGTGAAGGAAAATATACTATAAAATATATTTTATCCTCTAAATATATATTTTAGCTAGTTTTTTGGCATAAATAAGGAATAATTTAAGATAAAAAGTGAAGTTTAAATTCTTTTATGTGTTTCAATCATGAATTATTGAACTATAAATATTGAACAATTTTGTTACCACTTGATGTTGCCAACACTTTATGAATTTTTGTGTTCTGTGGTTTGAATTTTAACTTTTACTGCAGTCAGGAGTGCAACAAAACTGTTTTATAATTATCAATGATCTTCATCTATCTTTACAAAACATAAATTTAAAAAAATGTTTGATACTATTTGATGTCCAAAACATTATGGCTCTCAACTAATTACAGACATTTTACAGTCAATGTATATATATATTACACATTGCAAATACAGTAATTATATATATAACGACAAACTGATTTAAAACTAAGAATGGGTTATGGTGTATTATAATTTTTAAAACAATGTTAAATAAAATCAGATATCAGATGTCAGGAGTGCAACACAGTAACGTAACAAAGGGTCATTTAAAAATCTAGTTTTTTTCGTAAGAAAACTTGTATGTCAAAATTCTCTTTTGGCTTAAATTTAAAGAATTGACTTAAATGGACAAAAAAAAAAATGATTTGGGAGGAATTTTAGTTTTTCATATTTCTTTCATATTAAAACTTTTCAAACCAGAATTGAAAAAATAATGTAAAATAACAATCAAAAAGCCAATTTTTTCCCCCACATACTGGTATACAAGAGCAGAAACTCAATTAAGGTTTAGATCTATCCCTGATACCATTTGGAAGCACAAAACACTATAATTTCTTTTGATTATGTATTTTAATTAGAGAGTCTTTTAGGATATAGTGATATTTTCTTTTCTCAAATAAAGTTTTACTAATAAAAACTTAAAAACTTTTTCTTATCCAATTGTCTATTCTATTGCAACTTCGGAAATTTGAACTAGAATACATTTACAATATGATAATATAAGTGAAAAATATGTTATGGGTAGTTGAACTTTGTCAAAAAATTTCAATTTGGTGGTCTTTTTTTTTTAATTCGCCCCTATGTGTTTTCATGTGCAATGGGTTTAAAATCGTTCCTTACAAAATACATTGCTTTGGATTAATTTTCAATCTTTTCTATTTATGCATTTGGAAATACCAGTTACACAGTCTATCCCTTTATTAGTTGAAATCGTCTATTACATTCGAAGTTGTTATCTTGCACAGTGGTCGCCCGCGTGGCGCAGTGGTTAGAGCGTCTGCTCTAGAGTCGCGGAGTAAGGAGTTGATCCTTACGTCGCGGGTTCGAATCCCACTGTGGGACGTGGACACCGGTCCTTCGGATTAGACCGTATAAACCGAGGTCCCGTGTCGCAGTAGGTGCTGGCACGAAAAAGACCCCTCACTGCTCAATGGCCGTAAGTGCCGAGTATAGGACAAAATTTGTAGCTCTCCACCGGCAAGTGGTGGCGTCTCCATATGAGTGAAAAATTCTCGAGAGGGACGTTAAACAACAAACAAACAAACTTGCACAGTTCTACATTTATATTGTTCGTGGTAGAAAGCATTGATTCTAATATACCTGCTGGTTTAGGAAAGATTTATGCTTTATCTGTAAAGCTTATAGATATTTCTAGATTCTGTATTCTTTCCTTTGCGTCCTTTCTTTAATTAAATCCAACACATCGATTCTTTGCCCCCTCCCCCCCCCCCCCCACCTTTTCCTTAAAATTTTCAAGGCTATTGATCACAATTTTTTTTGTTTTAATAGGCATTGGTAAATACATCACTTCCCTCTAACCCTGTTAACTTCGTTGTTGCTCTGAAAGACCTGCATGAGTTCGAAAAGCTGAAGTTTTCTGTTCCTTTTTTCCTGTCTTGAACATCAACTCTGTGATTTTTCAGGAGCTTCTTTTTTCTATTGTTTTCATGCAAATCATTTTAAGGCACTGCACATTAAATTTGTTGATTCAGTGACCTTTTGCTTTTATCGGACGTTACTTGTCGTGTCAGTGGGGTACTGCCTTATGCTTAAACTATTCAATTTTTCCTCAAAAAGTCAGTTGCAATTTTAAATAAATATGATTAGTAATAATTTATAGGTGAATGGAGATAAATACTGTTTACCTCAATCTCCCTTTCTCCTCTATTCCCTACAAGCTGATAAATCTCTAATTTTGGTGCCCCAATTGTTAGGCCACAGTTTTTATAATTTTATATTTTTTCTTTACATATCCTACTTGTCCTTTTTGGATTGTAATCCTCACTGTTACATATAAATATTTGAAAACATTTAAGCATTAAAATATTTCCTTTGAATTTTTTTCAAATGGATGAACAATTCCAACACTGCAGAAACATGCACAATTTTTTTCTTCCATTGACTGCTATCGCTACATTCCTTGTAACCAAAGAAAGAAGAAATTTTTGGTTTTTATACTCGTATCTATTTGAACTTTATGGTCCTGTGGTTGTTAAAATAGAAACAGTGCCCAACATCTTTGTAAATAGACAATGACTTTTTCCCAATAAAACAATATACAAGGAAACTACACTGAGTAAGCTCACAAACTCTTCAATAAAATGTAAAGATCAGATTTAATATGTTTCACGGGTACAACTACATGAATGAAAATGAGAGCATTTCTTGAAAATTATAACTTCAAAGAAAAACAGAACAAAGACCTTATTGGAACAATGGTAATTACTATCTCTACATCACAAAAATAACCTCGAATTAGTATGTGCTAAAATTACAGTAACTCTGGGAAAATTAACCTTAATTGCAAATTTTGATGATCCTTAGCATCATCAGGTTTCCATGAGTGATCTGGTCTTTTAAGGCAAGATCACCCATGGGTGTCCGACGATGGATCCTTAGAGTACAGTCCAGATATTTATGTCCACTTTTCTTTACTAAAAACACTTAGCCTGGGTCTTCCCAGACTCCTTCTTTTG